GGGGGAGCGGCAGAGTGGCCTGGCCTCTCGTGCCACCAACGGAGAGCTGGCATCTCTTTGCAGGGGCCCTGCCCCCGTGAGCAAGGCCGAGGGCTGGCTCCCCCTGTCAGAGGGGCAGGCCCAGAGTGAGGACTCAGACCCGCTCCTGCATCAGAGTCACAACCTCACCTACTTATGCGGCAGCTGCAGGACGAGTACGACCAGCAGCAGACGGAGAGGGCCGTGGAGCTGTCGCGGAGGCAGGCCGAGGAGGAGGACCTGCAGCGGGAGCAGCTGCAGATGCTCTGGGCCCGGGAGTGGGAGCGCGAGCAGGAGCAGCTGCAGGCGGCCTCCCTGCACACGCGGACGCGGTCCCTGGACTTCAGAGAAGTCAGCCCTTTCCAGCTGGAGCCCAGCAGAGAGCCTCGCGGCCACCTCGCCTATGCTTTGGACCTTGGCCCTTCCCCAGCTCGGGGCGACGTGGCTTCCCACAATCCTTCGCCCGGCTCCGCCGCAGAGCCCATCCGAGTGTGGGCTGGGCGCCTGGCCCTGGGCCAGGAGCACTTCCCCCAGAGCTCTGTGTCACAGCAGAATGAGGTGTCCTCCCTCAACCCCTTTGACGAGGACGAGCTCCCCAGCCCCCTAGACGCGGGCCCTACCAGCCCTCCGGCAGAGGCGTCCTTCGGCCTGTCCACCCGAGTCCCCAGAGAGTACAATCCCTTTGAGGAAGAGGAGGAAGAGGTGCCAGGGAACCCTTTCACTGATCCAGACAGTCCTCCACCGAACCCCTTCGACGAGGAAGAAGAGCACCCCCACCAGAGTCCTTCCAGCCCCCCTGTTCCCGGCAACCCCTTCGTGAAAGCCGTCTGTACCAACCCCTTCGAGACGGACAGTGACAGTGGGCCGGAGGCGGAGGAGCCCATCGAGGAGGAGCTGCTCCTGCAGCAGATCGACAACATCAAGGCCTACATCTTCGACGCCAAGCAGTGCGGCCGCCTGGACGAGGTGGAGGTGCTGACGGAGAACCTGCGGGAGCTGAAGCGCACCTTGGCCCGGCAGAAGGGGGGTGCTGACTGACGGGGGGCAGGGCCGTGCGGGGCAGCCGAGCAGGATGGCAGGGCAGGCGTGCCCCGGGGAGGGAGCCTGGGGCGAGGGCAGGAGCCTGTGTGGTGCTGGGCACTGGGAGCGGCCCACACAGTCCACAGTGAGACAGGGACTGGGCAGAAGAGCCAGCATTCCTCACCCGCTGCTCTTCCGCTGCTCTTCCTGCGGGCTGTTACTTGTTTTGGTTTGGGTTTTTTTTTTTTTTTTTTAATTTGGGGCTTTCCCCTTTCAAAGGGATATCACACTTTTATTCCTTAGCTATAACTCAGTACATCTCCGCTGGGCCCAGGGAAGAGATGCCGCCATGCTCCTCTTGGGCCCATCTGCTACTCCCAGGCTCGGCTCGCCGTGCCCTGTTACGGGCAGCCTTGTGTAGGGCCCTCCCTGTAGCCAAAGCAGACGGCTGGAGCCCCCTGCCCCTGCCCTGGTGGGAGGCCGTCCCCGTTAGCCGTGGGTGCCCTCTCCCCTGGGGCTTCCTCCCCCGTGCTGCCTCCCACCTGTGCAGTGCAGGGGGAGGTACTAGAGGTGGGGCGCAGCCCCAGGACAGCCCGGCACCTCTTTCTGGGAGAGGGCCTGGGGGAGGCTTCCCAGCACGGCTCCCTCTGGTTCCGTCCGAGTTTAAGATCGTGCTCGTCTCTGCCAGGAAGCTACGCTCCCAGTGCAGGGGCACATCTGAATTCGATCCCGAGCTATTTAGGGGTAGCTGGTGGATATTAGGAGTATTTGGGAGGAGGGGTTTCTACCCAGGCGTCGTTGGGATGGAACAGTTGTCTGTCCGGGGAGCCACTCTCTCCGAGCGTTGACAAAGTGACTGCCGGGGCCATGGAGGAGCGCTGAGGCGGTGACTTAGGAACTGGGGACCGGGAGTCCGTGTGGAACAGCGTCGGGAGGGGAAGCTTCCTTGAGTCAGAGACAGTCATGCCCAGGGCCGTTGCATCTGCTTCTTCCTGTGTGGGTTCATCCCGTCCCACCACGGGGCCCTGGGAGATCTTTTCTTACCTGCGTTTGGGATGAAAGGACTGCACTGTTGGAAAAGGCACGCCCCAGGACCTCCCTGATGGGACCGCGGCGCTGGAACTCTGCACCGGCCAAGGGCAGAAGGGAGGCCGCTGCTTTAGCTTCGGTGCTTTGATTTTCAGGAGCGTCTCCCTCCGCTGACATCTGACACGGTAAGCAGGCGTGTCGAGCTCCGGGCAGAGCCTGCAGTCATGCGCATTAATTATCGCACAATAACGGACCCCTCGTCACTTTACACAGCTTTGTAACGGGGGTCGTACTTTCGCTGGTGACGGGTCTGAGGGCCAAAGTCGATGTCACTTTCTAGTGGAGACCCCTCTTGATAATGGGAATGTCTGAATTCTCTCGGTGTAAAAAGAATCTGCACTGTCAACACTAGTCACATGTCCTTAGCACCCGCTGGGGCTTTTGGCCAAATGGAAAGTTCCTGGGCAGGGTGTGGGAACTGGGGCGGGAGAGGACCCACGTTCGGGTTCTGTTCACAAACACAGGGCTTGGGGCAGCGTGTCAGCCCCTCACGGCATCTCAGCTGTCGCCTGCGGCCAGCCTCCTTTCCTCCCTGGGGGCCGTGCCCGGCGTGCAGTCTCTGGGGCTTTGTGGCTGGGCAGCGCGGCCTTCCCTGCTCGGTCTGCCCTTCCTCCCGGGAGCGGGAGCGGGTGGTTCCAGAGGCCGAGCGCTGCTGGCCAGCCGGAGCACTTTCTTAGGGGAGCGAGTCTCCGACGGAGGAGGATTTCAGTTAGGGCTCATCCACTAAACGAGCCCCAGCCCTGAAATCAACCCCAGGTAGCGCTCTGTAAGTAACCAACAAGAAACACTTAAAAACTATTTAAAACAACCCACCTCGAATATACTAAACCAAACTAAAAGCAAATCCCTCTGGCTTGGCGGAGCTCTTCCATGACGGTATTCTTCCATGAATTCTTCCGTGTAACCTCCCGTGGCCATGTCCTGTGAACCTGCAAGGGACACGAGAAGAATTAGGGCCCCTCCCCGCAGCTGGCTGTCTCCCAGGATCAGGACGACGTTGGGCTGACAGCAAGGACAGACCGGCCCGAGCATCGTGACAGTGGCCTCACGTTCTTACCTCAGGTGGACGCCTCACCCTCCCTGCAGTCCTTCAAGGGGAACAGCCTGGGTCAGCAGCAGAGTGAGGTCCCGACATGGCGTTGGCCCACTCCAGAGACAGACCGCGATCGTCCTTGGGAAAGACCGCGGGGCACCGGGCTCACACGAAGGTGGCGTTTCCCTTTAGGCTTCGATTGTATTTCCCCGTCCAAGACACTAAGGGAGCTTCCTGTGCTTGCGACTCCAAGCGTCTTTGCTGTCCACATCCTCACATGCACGTCCCTGTCGCCCTGAGCCATGTGGTAGGGTGGACGGTGGGCTAGTCCGGTGGTAAAACGCCACTCGAGAAGCCGGTCTCTGCAGTTACAGGCAGGCTGTGCTAGGCATGTGACAATGGCTGTCCGTTTGAGGGTCATTGATGTGCATGCACTAACTCTGGGGCCTTGTATTGGAACCTTTTTTAAAAAAATAAAGTAACATGTTACTGGTGCGTGTCTGTGTACGTGTCATGTGACAGCTCCGGGCACCCTCCCTCCTCCTGTTGGCCATCCGATTATCAAATGGTAGTCGTAGCTCCTAAGTTCCTGGCTGGCTAGGGCCTCAGGAAGAGCCGAGGTCACTGGGCTTTGGGCAGGATAAATCCAGGCCCTAGTTGTGCTGTTACTCCAGTTACCTGGGCCTGTGCAGATTATTCAACAAGGAGGGGATGATATCAAGTATCTTCAAAAAGTTTATGAAAAAAACGATGTCAGGGTCTTGCTGTACCAAAACAAAGATCTAATCGGATCTTTTTATGACCTTGCTGAAGCCCCCTTTTCTTTAGTGCTCGCTGTGGGCCAGACCGAGTGCCAGGTATTACACATGGATTACCTTACTTAACCTTCACCGGAACCCCAGTGTCTGACTGCACACCCCACCTCTGGATGGGTGGGCAGGGCAGGGCAGGTTGGGGTTTTACCCATCCTTCTCTTTTTCTTATTTGGAGAGATTTTTTTTTTTTTTTTTGGAGAGATTTTTTTTTTTTTTTGGAGAGATTTTTGCTATAGGGGGCGTGTGCTTGCCAGACAGAGAAAGAGACAGAGACAGAAAGCGAGAAATCACCAACCAGGGGGGATGGCCACTCCGCAATCCCTTCTCCTCCATTCTCCTCTCGGGATCTTAGGCACGCACGCACATGCGCTCGGCGTGAGTTTAAGCCACTGGGTCCAGGCCGCGAACCGCGGTCAACTCCGTGGGAGTCCAGCGACATAGCCATTACGCTAACTGCTGGTTCCCATTTGGAGAGATTTTTGCTATAGGGGGCGTGTGCTTGCCAGACAGAGAAAGAGACAGAGACAGAAAGCGAGAAATCACCAACCAGGGGGGATGGCCACTCCGCAATCCCTTCTCCTCCATTCTCCTCTCGGGATCTTAGGCACGCACGCACATGCGCTCGGCGTGAGTTTAAGCCACTGGGTCCAGGCCGCGAACCGCGGTCAACTCCGTGGGAGTCCAGCGACATAGCCATTACGCTAACTGCTGGTTCCCATTTGGAGAGATTTTTGCTATAGGGGGCGTGTGCTTGCCAGACAGAGAAAGAGACAGAGACAGAAAGCGAGAAATCACCAACCAGGGGGGATGGCCACTCCGCAATCCCTTCTCCTCCATTCTCCTCTCGGGATCTTAGGCACGCACGCACATGCGCTCGGCGTGAGTTTAAGCCACTGGGTCCAGGCCGCGAACCGCGGTCAACTCCGTGGGAGTCCAGCGACATAGCCATTACGCTAACTGCTGGTTCCCATTTGGAGAGATTTTTGCTATAGGGGGCGTGTGCTTGCCAGACAGAGAAAGAGACAGAGACAGAAAGCGAGAAATCACCAACCAGGGGGGATGGCCACTCCGCAATCCCTTCTCCTCCATTCTCCTCTCGGGATCTTAGGCACGCACGCACATGCGCTCGGCGTGAGTTTAAGCCACTGGGTCCAGGCCGCGAACCGCGGTCAACTCCGTGGGAGTCCAGCGACATAGCCATTACGCTAACTGCTGGTTCCCATTTGGAGAGATTTTTGCTATAGGGGGCGTGTGCTTGCCAGACAGAGAAAGAGACAGAGACAGAAAGCGAGAAATCACCAACCAGGGGGGATGGCCACTCCGCAATCCCTTCTCCTCCATTCTCCTCTCGGGATCTTAGGCACGCACGCACATGCGCTCGGCGTGAGTTTAAGCCACTGGGTCCAGGCCGCGAACCGCGGTCAACTCCGTGGGAGTCCAGCGACATAGCCATTACGCTAACTGCTGGTTCCCATTTGGAGAGATTTTTCACGATAGGGCACATGTACTTACTGGAGAGACAGAAACAGAAAATGAGAAATCACCCCCGCAGGGGGGACTGCCATGCCGCAATCCTTCCATTCTGCACTTGAGAGCTTGGGCACACGCTCGTGCACCCGGTGTGAGTTTAAGCTGCTGGGTCCAGGACTCGAACTGCAGTGGGCTACGTGGGATTCCAGCGATGTAACACCATTATGCCATCTGCTGGTCCTAACTCACTTGGACTCCTGGATCAAAAGCTCCTCTGCCTGAAACTAGGGTAGCCTCTCATGTAAGTAGTTTGAAAGGACCTCAGGAAGCGTTTCTGGTTTCAATTTAGATACTTAAAAGTTGCGTTTGGAAACTGTCATTCCTATCTTTGCACAAAGAAATAGTTGGACAAACTGAATAGAGAGCTGAGTGTGCAGGGCAAACGGCCATCGAATCTGGGGAGAGGAGTACAGAGTCGGCCGAGGTCTGCCTGCCTGGCATGGACGCCACCCACGGCCAGGGGGACACTTGGATAGCTGTGACGAAATGCTGGAGGCCGCGTGCGAGCCAGCATGGAGTGAGGAACAGCCGCCTCCCCTCCACACACTTCCGTGGGCTTTACCTCCAGGAACCCCACTCGCTTCTCACGGTGAAGAGCTAAGAAGAGTCGCTGGTGCCTCTGGCAGAGGAAGGGGAACGATATCTTGGTAAAATAAACTCAGCCTTCCCTATAACCGAGGCCAGTTCTCCAGGGGAAAAGATTTTGCTAGAGCCTTATCCCCTCTGGGGAAGGGCGTTAATCCCACTGCAGTCTCTGAACTTTCCTGTCTGATGGGAGGAGGGAGGAGGGGGCTTGAACACCTGCGAAGGTCACAGCCCAAGGACTCAGGCCTCCTAAAATACTGCGATTTCTGATTTCTCGTCATGGAATGCTCCTCCTCTGCACCCTTCCCCCATACCACCAGGGCTCCAGGAGGGTGACAGTGGGTTACTCTGAGTTGGGTTATCTAGGGAAGCCCAAAGTCAAGCAGGGAGACAAAACCAGACGCTAGAAAAAATGAGTGCTGGGTACCCATAGCTACAGCTCAGCCCCGCACCAGATGAACACTTTGCCCGCAGAGGCCTGTCTCCCTCACTTCCTATTGCTCAACTCGGCTGAGGTGGACTCATCTTCACTAAATAAAAATAAAAACTCCAAGGCATGCCACAAGGCAAGAGGAAGTATCAACCCCATGAGAGGAAACAAACATGGGAACTACACGCAGAAGTTGCAGCGACCAGGCAGGAAATCTAAAATAACTGATTAATATAAGGGTCTCACAGGTAAAGTACACAAGAGTTCATGTAACAGATAAAGGAACTACAGGAAATGTTAAGAATAAAACACAAAGGCCCAGCAGGTGGCGGAATAGTCACTTCGTCACTGGACTCCCACATGGCTGTCTGTGGTTCAAGTCTCGGACCCGGCTGTTGGAAACTCACGCCAAGTGCGTGTGCGTGCATGCCCAAAATCTCAGGAGGAGAATAGAGGGGAAGGGATTGCAGCGTGGCCATGCCCCCTACCCCTGGGGGATTTCTCCTTTTCTGTCTCTCTGTCTCTCCAGTGAGTGTAGTGCCCTATAGCAAAAATCTCTCAATCAAAAACAAAACTTTTCCAGATGGGACCAGCAGTTAGCGTCGTGGCTATGTCGCTGGACTCTCACGTAGTAGACCGTGGTTCGAGTCCCGGACCTGGTGGCTTAAACTCACTCCGGGCGTTTGTGGGTGCGTGCCCAAGATCCCGAGAGGAGAATGGAGGAGAAGGGATTGCAGCGTGGCCATCCCCTTGGGGGGTGATTTCTCGCTTTCTGTCTCTCTGTCTCTGTCTGGGGCGCCGCCATCCCCAAAACCAAAACCCCCCCCCCCAAAAAAAAAAAAAACCCTTTCCCAGATCAATAAGAGCACTTGAGAAATGCGTCCTCGTCCACACTGGTTTATGAGGAAATGAGGTCGCGGTGTTCAGTGGCTGAAGTAGGGATGGTAATTGCCAAACCTTCCTTGTCCTTGTGCAGCTCGATTTGTTTTCTGGCCAGTGTTAGAGATCGTGCAGTTTAAACTCTTCATTTTGAAACTGGAGCCCTTAAGAGAGGAAAGTTAGGACCCGAACTCAGGGCCCACGAATTCCCAGCGGTGGGCGGTGGACTCGCTAAGCCTCGCGGGAGGACGGTGTCAGCTCTCGCCCGAAGCCGCCAAGGGCCGCGGGCCAGGACTCCAAGTCCCAGGCCGCTCCGCGGCGCGCGCC